CTCTCTCTCTCTCTCTCTCTCTCTCTCTCTCTTCCACACAGCCCTACTCACCCATAAAGAGAAAATATCCACGCTCTGGAACACACACAATACACAATACATAATACATAATACACAATACATAATCCACAATATATAATACACTGTGCGCAATACAGAATACATAATACATAATACATAATACGCAATACATAATACATTATACATCCACGTTTTGCTATTCACGCCTCACACACAAAAGAAATAAAAAATATTCTCCTTCGAGTTTATGAAACGATTGATCGAGTCCAGTCAATGTCTTTGCTGTATGCGCTGACGTATGCTTCTCCGGAAGTTGAGACTGTTTCCGAATGTTCTCAGGTCTGCCGGGGGAACAATAGGTTGTACATTCCATAGAGCTTGCTGTTGGACGGGAATATGGGACGTTGTGCTGTACAAATGCTGTATTATAATATTTATTGTTATATCGCGACCTTAGAGTTTTCTTGTCGTATCTCCATTTTTAATAACAGTGATAACAGTTCATAACAAAGAGTGAGCTTAATTAAGAAGAAGTCACATTTTCAATGTTTTAAAAAAATGGTGATAGCACAAGAAAGCACTGAGGTCGCGATGTATTTAACGTTATAATAATAAGCATTCATGAACGTATTCAATGATCCAGGAACACATGAAGCCATTCAATGAACGTTCTGTTTCAGAAAACCTCCGCTTCGACCAGTTCTGTGAGAAGATCAGAGAGCTGTTCGGCTCTGACATAAAGAACCAAGACCTCAAGTCGATCTATCGCAAGATCTCCACCAACCCAGATGCTAAAGTTGACTGGAGTGAGGTAATCAATGAAATGCAACAGCTCGATAACTTCATGATTATGTCGTTTTTGTTCGTTTCTTTTCAACCATTCACGGTTTTTACAGTTTTCTTGGCACTAGTTCAACTGCTTTGAATTAACATTTTCACGAACAAGGCGGTCTGGTTTTGAGTCTTGTATTGATTGCTGTAAGCTGAGGAAATGGACGAGGGACGAAACTTGGCCGTCCTCGGGTTTGCAATGTGGAGCTGCCAGAGGGTTTAGCCATCCGGCACCTGATTTTGAGTTTTGAGTCTGTTTTAACCTTTAATTAGAAACGAATGGAAAAAAAACTCTTAAAACGTCAGCACGATAAATTGTACATTTTCTGCCAAGTAGTCGCACCACTCTTGTTTTGTTTCGGGTTTTTATTTCTTTACAAAGTGGGATGACCCACACGCCAAAGTCACAATGACATGGCAGTGTGTCTGGGTATGATTATGAGCCTTTGTTGTTTTTTGTTGTGGAGCATAGACACGTCATAAATCCCCCAATTTATAAATACCACACACCCAGGCCTTGTCCAGTCGTCATGACAATACGTTAACTCTCTTCTCCTTTCCTTCCCAGCTGTTTGGTTTCTTTCTATCTCCTTTATTTGTGCTGTTACTTTCTATTTCCTTTATTTGTGCTGTTACTTTCTGACTCCTTTATTCGTGATGTTACTTTCTGCCTCCTTTATTTGTGCTGTTACTTTCTCTCTCCTCCCTCCCTGGCTGTTCAGTTACTTCCAGTCGTCAAGTCAATGTTACAGTGCTGTTACTTTCTCTCTCCTCCCTCCCTGGCTGTCTGGCTACTTCCAGTCCTCAATGAGTTTATAGTTGTGTCACTTTGTACCTTTTCTCCCCAACTGTTTGGTTAGTTCCAGTCCTCTATAAGTCATAGTAAGATAAGATAAGATAAGATACATCTTTATTGTCCAGATCTGGACACATTGGTTTGG